GATCACACAAGTAGTAGTCAATTTAAACGGCATTGTTTTTAAAGAATTTATTCAAAATAATATTATTACGAATATAATTTAATTGATGATGAATTCACTAACTGACGAATTTGTATAAAAAACTGGTACTATACTTTAGTACTATAAAATAATATTTTTATTTTGAGTTATGAAATAAATGTCAAGGAACATATCTATACTTTTTTTTTAAGAAAAACAAAAAAAAAAAGGGATTACTCTCGGAGGTGTAGAAAATGAGTGAGATTTTTCATATTATGAGATAAATATTCGCGTCTCATATTTCAACTTGAATATAATTCGCCAATTTATTTTTTAATTAGTGAAGATTTTTAATTTTTATTTATGCTCAGTTGTTAAAGCCATAAAATTGTAATATCAAGCTATAGTTATTCAAAATTAGCATTACTATTTATTTCAAAACTATGATTTTTCTCCAATATAAACTTGAAGAGTGCAGTTGAAAAGATGAAAAATATTGTAAGTTTTCATGTGGGTATAGCTTTATGTTATGTCTATTAAGTTTAGTGAAATTTTGATAAATTTATTTATCAATACAAAAAATGTGAACTTTTTATAATTTGAATGATTATTATGTTGCTTTTTTATTACAATAATAATTTTGAGAAATAATTTTGAATAAATGCAAAATAAGTATATGTAATAAATGTCTTAATGTTCCTTTCTGAATGTTATCTACCTGATAGCCAATCAGCAAGGAACACCCAGACAAAAACCAAGAAAGAACTTAAAATAGATAGCAAAAATTATACTAATCATTCTTATTAATGCTCTTTGTTTAAAATTACCAGACAACTGATTCAGGAACATTAGGTCCGAAATCATGTTTATAATGATTTAATACGCAAGATCCCTTTTGAGGATCATTATGACAAATTTTACAAATTTCCATACAACCAGGAGAATCTAAATCTCTAGAGCAACCATTGCAAACAAGTGTGCAACCAATATTGTTACTAACTTCAATGCCACAACATGAATAATATTCTTTACAACCCTTATTACCATCACTAAAATCAACTCCACAACAATCATATCTCCTGCTACACTCTGCCATTTGTTTACAACACTCATAACGATCTCTGCAGCCTTCACTATTAACTTCTCCCTGACAACAATTATAAACTGTTTCACA